ATAACTAAGGCTATATGCTCAACAAAGAACGTAATTATGCTCGCACTACCAACTGGGAAAAAAGCAAAAGGAAATATATGGCTTAATGGAAGATAGAAAAAGAAAAAAAGTAATGTGTTTACATAGTATAAGGCAAATGATAACCTAATTAAAAGATATGCCAATCAGGAAAGAGATTGCAATGGACCACGGCGGAGCAGAATACCACAAAGGTCTAGAGCATAGACCACAAGCCATCTGATTTTATTCGGTAAGAGCCTTTGAACTACAAATAAACGAATTGGAGAATAGAGACTTGCATACATGATCTTAATGAGAGGATGTTAATGAGAAATGGTTTGAAGTTTTAAGGTGAATAGAAGAAGGTTGATGAAAAAGCAAAAGTGAGAAGTGTGCAATTGAGAGGAATCATCTCTAAAAGTGAACTAAGCGTGCATATTAAAATAAGATTTGCTTTTGTGACTGTATGCTATAAAAACAAGATGAGAAGGGAAGTAGAGATGTGTAGAAAAGAGAAAGGATAATAAAGATGATTAATTTGATTCCAAAGTCCCAATCCAGATAGAACATGGAAAGAGATCTTGACCAATGTTTAATCTTGAGATTAGTCGATTTCCTCCATCGATTGCACATTCGGAGGTTGTTCAGTTTCCTCCACGCCGATCTCAGAATGTCGATCTCCAGTTAAAGTAATTGAACCGGGCCTCTCGATTGACGATGTGAAACCAGGCAAAGTCGATGGCGTCATTGCATCATCATCATCTTCGTCTGAGAGTGTGATGGGGAGCAGACATTGCCTATGTCGGCGTCGGCTTGACTGTGATATCGAAAGAGGCCGGTCGTTTGTACAATCTGTAATGACAGAGGAGGTAGATGGCTCTGCATGACCCTGCTGTAGCCTCGGAGTCCATGCAGATTGGCGCGAAAGCATTGCGATTAAACGACGTTGAACGCGAGTTAGGTATGAAGAGAATGAAGAAGCGGAAAACGGAGCAGGCCTTGGGTCCATGAGGCGAGAGGAAGAGGCGGGGGAGACAGACGTGGTTGTGGATGTATTCGGCATTGAGGTGGCAGATGTGATATCCGCCGAGTCCCTTTGAATAGAAACAGAAAAAGCAGCTATACGCAGATCTAGCACTTGCCAGGCCCCTCTGAGAACACGGTCGGAATTGACCTGCTGCAAGAAAGGCTGTAAAAAGGGCTGTAGCAGCAGTAACTCGCGCATGCGAGAGCGGTTGGCTGTATGGTGGCGTGATAGGTGGGACGGATTCTGAGAATGATGGGGACTTAGTGATAATGATTCGGAGTTAGCAAAACTGCTGGAGATCGGGGAACGAGCAGCAGAAGAAATGCGAATCAGCGGAGATCCCTTAGATCTGGAACTGGACAGAGAAGATCCTCTGCTGGCAAAAGGAGAGGTGGAACAAGTAGAATCTAAGTGACGACCGAAAGATGAGAATCCAGCCTCAAATATGTGTTGTTCTTCCTGCCGATTGTCTTCGCGTTCATTATCCTCTTCGGCCCTTTCGCCTTCTTCTTCATCAGTTTCTAACAAAGCCATTGTTGCGGGGGGCAATGTACGGGCTGGAAGTACGAGACGAATGGTAAACGGATGTAGAGGATCAGAAGAATCCTCAGCTTCATCAGAGCCGCTTGGTGGGATAAAGTGGGGTTCTGTATCCATTGGCTCATGGCACCTTCTGGGACGACTTGACTCTGAGTGGTGTGCATCAGCATCGCAAACTTGACTGCCCGCCTCAGAATCAGGTTCTTCACCGGAATCCTCTGCAGAAGATGTGCTGACATCACTATTCTCATTGCCAGTGCATAGACGATTAATTGCAGATGAATTCTAAAAAATCCATAGATAGGTAGTAGGGCTGGTATAAATACGCATATGATTATAGATATGTGTATACGTACATGATTAGTATAACAACCGACATGAATCAATTCATGGATGAAAGTAGTGCTAAACGAAATGCTCCCAATTTAAAAGCCTCTAACAGTCACCTAGAAGTTCTAAATTTTGAGGAAAATGTAAATCAGGTTTCAAACTAAGAATTCACTCTAACTATAAACTTTCAAAAGAAGAGGGGCACAAGTGATTTCTTCACAAAGCTTGACTCGAAATACCCATGAAAAAAGTATGAACAGTATGAGGGCTAATTTGAAAATGGGAAAGCTGAGTCCATGTACTGGGAAAAAACAAAATTCTAAAAAGAAAAAAGAATCAAAATTATTTTAGCGTAAAAGTGGTTTGGCGTCATTTTAACAACTTGATAATGCTGTCAGAGACCTAGGTAAGCGTAGCTTAATCTGATTCTTCTGCCAGAGCAAT